ACTCTCCCATCCTCAAGACCCTTCCCAGACTCCTGCACTCCCCTCCCCCACCAGCAGTCCCCCGCCCTGAAGGACCCAGACAATGTCAGATATGTCTTCTAGTTGTAAATATGGAAGAATCGATCAAAAGTATCAGACTCCATTATCAATTTCTTTTTCCATCTGGGAACCACAGTTCACTCTGCACTCAGGTAGTTTCTGCGGGTGCAACCTATATAGAAGTGACGATCACTTTGTCTCTCTCTCCCTTTGTAGTGAGACTGTCTCTTTTTACATTGGCACATCTAGAACAGTGTGATTCATAGTTTTGTCTGCTGCAGTCTTTTGTTTCCTTTAGAAAATGTTCTCCTTTTGGGCAGCAATAGTTCACTTTCTGCTGTGGGCTCTCTCTCATAATTTTTCTGCAGCCCGGGTGAATGGCCCTTTTGGGCAAGAGCTATGTAGCTCCTGTATTCTCTTTCCAGTTCGGTATTTGCTGTGTCTTTTTTTATATCACACGGACATTTCTGCTTTGAAGCAATAATCCATGTGCTTTGTCTGCTGGCTGCTGTGTTTTTCAGTTTGATGGAATTAGTTTTCATGGGAGGAGAGGAGGAAGGGCTGGATTCTTTTTTTGTGTTGGCCATCCCTCAGTATCCTATCGAGATCTTTATTTAATTTTTCTCATGCAATTACTACCTCAAGCTCATCTCATGATACTATAGATGATACTCTATGTATTTATTAGTCTCTAAGGGTGCTAGAGACTAATAGCAGGGCTAACGCTGAACTAAGCTATGCAACTTAAGCTACGCAATTGACGTAGCTCAAGTCAGAATAGCTTGTTTCAGGTTTTGGTGCTATCTACACAGTAGCAAATCTGAGAAAGAACACTCTTGCTCTGACTTCTCTTACTCCTCGTAAAATGAGAGTTACAGGAGCTGGAGTAAGAAGTCGTCCAACCCGACATTATTTTGACATATCAAAATAACTGCTTGTAGCGTAGACATGGACTGTTATTCCAGAATAATGTCAGTTATTCTGAAATAACACTAGTGTATAGCTGTACCTTTTGGTACCACAGGACTACTCATTGTTTTTAAAGTTACAAACTAATACGGCTACCTGTCTGAGACTTCACTGGTGTAGGAATCTCTATTTCAGCTGTTTCCTTTGTATTTTCCATGTGACAGGGTGGAGCAACCCCGTCCCCAGCCGCGGGCGGAAGGAC